TCTGTTAAACTTAATTTTTAAATTTTTTCTTTTAATATAATGATGTTTTTAAAGGAGAGTCATGTGATTTAAGCTGGACATTTAATAAAGAAAAAAAATCTGTCATATTGTTTTGAATAAGGAGAAAAGTTGCTGTAGAAGACTATTTGACATTCTATATGAGACTTTAATGAGAGACTAAATGAGGTTGTGCCAGTGGGAATGAAAAGAAGGGATGGAAGAGGTAGAATAGACTAAACTGGCAACCAACTTGGTGTAGAAATGGAGGAGATGTATTTTACTTCAAGATTTTTAGCCTAAAAGGTTTCTAGTGGCTGGGTGAAAGAGAATGAATATGGGATAGATATTTGTGTCTGAGGGACAGTGGATGATGAAGACTGAAAAAAGACCATAAAAAAAAATGGCAAAAGGAGAGCTTTGCTTTAATCTTTGAAAAAAAAAGTTTTTTAAATCTCTAAACTTTCCTACTATTCCCACTGTGCCAGCCAAAAGCTCAGACTCAAGAGCTCAGGCCCCACAAGTTACCCCAAGTTTGGTAAATAGATTTCTGTGTTATTTTCTATGATTGAGTCTTCATTTTTGTCCCTGGACCGAAGTTCATCTCCTGTGTTTATCCTTCTGCATTAGGGCCCCATCCTTACTCTTCCAGAACCTTCCTGGAACTGGCATTCATAACTGGGGCTCTGCTATGTGCTCACAGAATTCCCTCATGCTGCCTGCTTCCAGGTATTTCTGTGCTCTGTTTTACATGGTGCTGCTCCCTGGTCCTCCTAGTTAGACTTCTCCTCTGGAAGTGCTTAACTAAAGTTAATTGCCACTTCTAGATAATGTTTTATGTTTGCCTGACTGAATTTTCTACTATTATCATCAGACTTTTGAGCATTCAAGTCAGTTGGAGCTGACTCTAGCAGGTCTCTTTCCTGGATTCTTGGTCTCTCACTTTATGCCCTACCTGGGAACTTAGCTGGATCCTTCCTCAAATGCTCCAGGTCTTTCTAGATCTGATTGCTCTGTTCTGAAGGGTCACCCTATGTTCTTCTTAGAACAAGGGGCTATTTTGACCACTATTTCAGAAAGGCCTCCATGACCAATACCCAAGTAAGTAGGCTTCCCTTGCGATCATCTAGCATTTTCCTTGTTCATTTCCTTCAACTCAATATCTGCATGTATTTTAAAATTTGTTTTACTGTTTCTTAGCTGTCTCCCCTACTAGATTGTAAGCTCCAACTCACTATTGTATTCCTAGTACCAAGCATAGTACGTGCTCCAGATGTATTGCTGAATGAATAATTGTGTCTTGATACATGACATGAAAGTAGATTGAGAGCAAAAGCCATTTTTTAGCATTTCAAGATGTGATCGGGTGGAGAATAATCTGTGGAAAACTAAATATGGATAACTCAGGAAATTGATGGCAAGAGAGGGGACAGCAGTTTGAGAGAGTAGCAGGACTGATGAAAGTTTATTGCAGACTAGAGGCCATCTGAGCTTGTTAGGGATAGCAGAAAAAGGATCCCAAGGGACTGCAGAAAATGAAGAAAGACATGGAGCCATCATGAAGCAATGGAAGAACTTTGGTAGAAGGGTCTTCCTTGACAAGAAGGTGGAATATCTCTTTCTCATCAGTGGGTAAAAATTTGGGGAGAGGGGAAGGGAAGCTAGTGAAGTTCAGGGTGGTTGCCTTTAATCTCCTCTGCAAACAGGAGGTAGTTTTGTCTATTTAAGCGAAGTTTGATACCAGAGAAGAAAAAGATTCAAAAAAGTAGTTGTGAATGGGATGAGACTCATTAAAGGCATGCAAAGTGACTGTCTGACTATAAGGGCCCCTCTGAGGTCAGAGAGCATGGCTTTGAAGTGTCCTCAGATGACTAGGGTTTATGATCTTTCTCCAGAAAAACAAATTGCTTCTGAATTAAGTGCACTGCAGCTCCACAGTAGAGGCTGTGCAGTTGTGATTCACTTGGTGACTTTTTCCATTTGTTTTTAACCTAAGATTTTAGTTGCCTAGCTGTTTTTTCTTCTTTTTTTGCAATTTTATATTAGTATAGATAAGTTTACAGCATATTTTATGGGTAATTTACCAGGTAATTGGGAATAAGGAGGAAAGGACATTGGGATAAGGGGGAAAGTACATCGAAGAGAGAGAAAGGAGAGTTTCTCTCATATTAAATAACACAGTGATATTTTTTATTGTACGGCACTGGGTGCATATCCTATCTGAGCCTCATTTTTTTCCTTCTAGGATTAAATTTTCTTTGTATGGTCAATGATACTTAAGGGATAAATCTTTTTTAAAAAGCTAAAAATGTTATTCATCTCAATAGCTGACTTTTCACTTGACTGAAAGACTAAGGATATCTTTAGGGTTACACTTGATAAATTGTGTATGGGTTGGGGCCTCAGCTTCTCCATTTCTAAAAAGAGTATGATAGTAATGAACTACTTACATTGCTAGGAGGAAAATAAACAGCCAGATTGTAAAAGTTTGGCTAAACATTAAGTACTATACAAATACCTTTGGAACTGCTATACAGGAAGGACATATGCCCTTTCAGATAAAGCTTATTAAATTTCTGAGGAAAGAAAATGAATGAACAAAGCAGGCATTGCCATTGGAAATCAGTCCCCTGATACATTACTGATAAATAGACTGGTTTTCAGTTATACTTTCCTTTTGAGGAAATGCAAACACTTTAGTAACACGATCTTACAAATAGTCCTAGTCTCATGAAGCAGAGGACCATTTTCACAAAGAAAGGAAGCTTGAGCAAAGGATATAAGTGAGTGACTTAATAAAGGTCAGCGGTATAGCAGGTGAGAGAAGAAGTATACATTAATATCTGGTTTTGTAGATAATGAGCCACATGCTCCGTGATTCAACCAGGCCTGCACCAAGAATAGCTCCTGGTACCTAGTAGGTCCTCAATAAATGTTGGTTGCTTCAATGAATATTGTTCCTAAGATGTCCTATTGCAAAACCACTGGTCTGCCAAGCAGCATGATATATGCTCTGGTTTCCCTTGCAACAAAACATTTGTTTATATTTCTGGGTGTCAGATGGGTTTTAGGGTTAGGACTATAATTTGGGGGTTATATCCCACAAGCGAAATAAGTAATGACCTGAATGGAGTGACAGCAGTCTCTTTCCTGAGTGTTGCACGTTACCGTTTGCAGAGCACTTTTGTATTCATTTTCTCTGCTGACCCCATGAGGTATAGAGGATAGACATTTGTTCCACTTTTCTGAAGAATCAGCTGAAATTTCAAGAAATTATTTCCCTGCCTCTTGTGTTACAATTAGTATTTTGCAGAGACAAAGCTAGAAATGAGGTCTCCTAGTTCATAGACCTGTGTTATTTTCTTTCCTAAAAAAGATCCTGTGGCAAAACCAAACATATAAGTACATAAAATGTGAGGATCAATCCTTTAATAAAACTTTGGGTTAAAATACCAAGAGCATGTGTTAAATAAGAATAAATTGGCTGGAATAGGTCTGTCACTAATATTCCTTATGGATTATTATATCACATTAGCTGGAATGATGGGAATAGCAGGTGCTCACTATGTGCCAGACACTCTTATAAATGCTTAACTAATTCAGTCCTCGTAATGACTCTGTGATGTAGGTACCACAAGTATTTCTCACTATCAAGTCTATTTAGTTACTGAGTTTGGGTAGCAAAACTGGAAAATGATAGATATACTATTAATCAATTCGGTTCTTGATTTTCAGACAGCAAGTTTGGATAGCAAGGGACTTATTCAAATCTATTCAGTTCCTAAATTTAGACAGTGAGGATTCCTATATTGTTATATTTACTTTCTACTGGAGGAAATCAAGGCTGGGAGAGGTGAAGTAACTTTCCCAAGGCCACCCAGCTAGTGAATTGTGGATGTTTGACCTAGAGCTTCCATCCAGACAGTCTGTCTCCTGAGTAAGTTCTCATCTACTATGCTATTATATCTTTCATTAGGACCACCAGTTATGCACCAGAAAGTTTAGGGCCTTAAGGTTTGAATAGAGAAGGAAAGGAAATAGTCGAAACATGGGATATTAGAATCTGGGTGGGGCGAGTGAGAAGGGAGAAAGCTCTGGGGGTGTGGATGAGGAATTTATACCAGATGACATCCACTTACCTATAATTTTACTTAAAAACCTGGGAAACGAAAGATGCGTTGTCTCTAAAATATGTGCTGCCCAGAAATTCTATTTATGTTAATGTTATTAGAAATGCAGTTAACCCAGCTGGAGTCAATATTAGCTCCTTTGCCTTCTTTTTATGTCTCTGTCTGGAATTCCAGCTCTGGGGTCCATGCTGAATAGGTTCTGCTTCATTCAGAAAGTTATACAAGAGAAAACAATTTATTAGTTTTTTGTTTTCTAAATGATGCTCACTGGGTGTTAGTCCCAGGAGTTGTTCCTTACAAGAAAGGTTCTATGGTCAAATAAGCTTGGAAATCACTGTATTATACAGTGCCTGTGGAGGATTGCACATTAGCATACTAAAGGCTTTATGAAATTCTGCAGGAAGAAAGTCTGCTTAACTTTGTTTAACCAAGCATTTTTTTCAGACGATTTGATCAAAAGAATTTTGGAAGGGATTTTATTATTCTTCTTTTTAAAACGTCTACTAACATTTTACGGGACAAACTTCAGGAAATCTTAAATTAGTGTAAAAAAAATGTTTCACCAAAATGGATGTTTTATAGAATCAAATCACTGCTTAATTGATATGATAATATGCAATCTATTCCTAGAAAGATAGAGCTATTTATAGCCTTCAATGTCAGTAATGCTTCTGCATGCATAAATTTCTTTTATGTACATTATATCACTGGACTCTTGAAACCCACTGCTTGAGAAAGTAGAGCAGATATCATTATTCCACTTAACATAAAAAAAAATGTGACTTGAAAGGGTAGTGTTTTCTCAGCTCCTCAGATACCCAGAGCTGTGCTGGCTGATGACAGTCACTTTGTTTCACAAATGCATCAAATCACCTTCTCTTTTGTGATCTTGCCTGCTTGGGGGCCTTGTGCTTTGTTATATTTTTTTCATCACGGCTACTGGTTCGTGTTGATCTATCAACATCCTCTGTGGTGATTCCCATTAGTGATCATTGGGAAACATCTTATATAACATCTGGCTGCTGTGGAAAGAGAAGTTTATGGCCAGGGAAACAAAAATAGAAAAACACAGGTTCTATGAGAAAACAGTGATATTAGTGTATGTTCTAGACAGCTGAATAACTAAACAATACTGAAGCACTAAAAAATCATAAAGATTGGTCATTATGAAGTTGTGTTAACTTTTACAAAAATTACTGAACATTGAGTAATAACCCATAAGTTGAAAGGAATTACAATGTTCTTCAAACAAGCAGACTTAGAGGTTTGTCTCTAAAATATTTTCAATAGACTCATTGGATTTTACATTTGAGAATGCTTCTGAAGATCAGTTACTCCAGATCCCTTATTTTACAAATGGGGAAATAGGCTCAGAAGAGTTAAGGAGTCTATCAAACATTTACTCCTTTAGCGAAAAACAGGACAAGATCCCAAATCATCTCATTTTTCAAGAAAAGGCTGCCAGTTACCATGAAAGAATTGGAGGAATTCTCAGGGTCAGATCTGGATTGCTTCTGACATGCAAATATATTAAGAACTCTGCAGAGAGTGTATAGAAATTCAGTCACTGTATCAGAATCTGACTGTAAGGCTTGCTTCTTCAATTGTCCTCTTACACCAGGAACATTTAATGGCCTTCTATCCTACAGTTTCTAGAATTCCTATACATGATTAGTTCCTGCTTGAACAGCATGTAGGAAGCTCTTCATGTGAGAACCTAGACTTGGTATCAGGGTAGTTTGGCACCTCGTTGTCCTGCTTCATGGTGACTGTAAGGATTTTTCTCTTGTCATGTATTTATCGGGTGTCCATAGATTCAGTCCACTGTCCTCACTACACATCCTAATTACCTTGGATTGTCTTTCAGCCTTGTGATCTCCTGAACTCAGAATTTCTTCTGCTATCTCCTCCTAATGAGAACACTGTGAAGTAAAAAAAAAAAAAAAAAAAAAAATCCTGCAATAAAATTCTATGTACAGTCCCAGTCTGAGTGGAGGTGGAGCTAGGCAGATACAAGCTCACCTTCTGGCCAGATAGTTGTAAATGAGATAATATCTCCCTTGCACAGCTTGTATTAAGGATTAATAATAATTTATACAAGCTGTCTGATATGTAATAGGTACCCAATAAATGGCATATGTCAAGATTATTATTGTTTATTTTGGATGCTGGGCTATCTCTTTGGAAAGCCTTCACATTAACATAGTTGATAGTTTTATAACAAAATACAATATAATGAAAGCTATTCTGTGTGTCAACAGGAGAGGGGGTGTATTAGACCTTTTGGTGTTGCTATAACCGAAATACCTGATGCTGGGTGATTTACAAAGAAAAACAGAATTTATTGCTTATAGTTTCCGAGGCTGGGAAGTCTAAAGCCCATCTAGTGGTGGCAACGGTGACCCAGGGGTTTCATATTGCAAGATGGTGGAAGCAGATAGAGCAGAGAGAGAGAGAAAGACAGACTCTCCACTTCTTTTAAAGCCCTCAGAACCACGACCCTGACCACCATTTTTAATCCATTCACTGCTACACAGTCCTACAATCCAATCACCTCTTTAAGGCTCCACCTTTCAGTTATCACAAGAGGATTTCCCACCCTCTTAAAAGTTACAATAGGGGCTAAGTTTCTAATACATGAATCTTAGGAGACAATTCAAGCCTCAGTGAGTTTTGGGGGGACATAATTCAATCCACTATAGGGGGAGATAGGGACAATTCAGTGTAGTCCAAATGCCTTATCTCTTGTGGTCTTTCTTGATCTATATCAGGGCTATATTGGCTCTCTAGGAAAACAGGCCTCTTGTTTTTCAACCAGGCCTGACTATTATTTTTCACAACACACCTTTTGTTTAATATTGAATCACACACAACTGTAATGGCTATTAGTGGGGTCCTTTCAGTAAGACTCATGCATTATAATCAATATTCAGAGTACAGGGAGGTTGAAGCTGGGATACAACTTGTATTGGTGAAGAGCATGGCTAAACCATCAGCAATTTCTACCCAAACTTAAATAGAATGAGACCTTTTTCCTGTCTTCCTATGGGTTGAACAATTTTTGGAATTCCACTTTGACTTTGCTATAGTGCTTCTGAGTGCATCTCTTTGTGTAGATATTCTAGTGGGTACTCCAGATATTACATTGTCTATCTATCTGTCATCTCTTAACACAGTTTGCTGGCACTGACATTTTACCAGTTAGAGTGAAAGGTAGAAACTTTACCTCCCTTTAAATTCATTAACTTTCCTCTCTCTATGATATAGTTGTCTTAAATATCTCCTCAAAATATTTTGAGCGCCACATCATATGACATGATAATTTTTGCTTTAGCCATAAAACAATTTTGAAAACGCAAATGGAGAAAGCAAACCTATTGCATTTTTCGTATTCTTACTCTTTTCTGCTATTCCTTCTTCCTTCCTGAAGTTCCACGATTTGTTCTTTTATCATTTGTATTATGTTTTCAGAATTTTCTGTAGCCACTCTTTTAAAGTTGGTGCTAGGTTAAAACTTCTCTTAGGTTTTCTTCACTGGAGAATGTTTTGGTTTCCTTTAAATTCCTCATGAATATTTCACCAGATATAGGATGCTAGGTTCACAGTTTTTTCTTTCAACATTTGAAAAACATTTCCTGTCTACCTCCTCTGGCTTCCAAGGTTTCTGATGGGGAATCTGCTGTCATTTCAATTGTTTTTCACCTATATGTAATGTGTTCTTTCTCTCCCTGCTGTTTAGAATCTTTCTTTGTCTGAAGTTTTCAGAAATTTTATTATCATATATGTTAGTGTGAATTTCTCTGGGTTTTCCTGTTGAATTCTATAGGTTTATATCTTTCACCAAACTTGGGATTTGACAGTCATTACTTTTTCAAATACTTTTTCAGTCTCAACTCTTTCTCGTTTCCTTCCAAGATGCCAGTTACATGAATGTTAAAACTTTTGTTATAATCCTGCAAGTACCTGAGGCTGTGTTCATTTTTTTTCAGTGTATTTGTTCTACATTGTTCAGATTGAATATTTTTTTTCCTTCAATTTTCAAATTCACTAAACCGAAATACCTGATGCTGGGTGATTTACAAAGAAAAACAGAATTTATTGCTTATAGTTTCTGAGGCTGGGAAGTCCAAAGCCCATCTAGTGGTGGCAACGGTGACCCAGGGGTCTTCACAGTTTTTTCTTTCAACATTTGAAAAACATTTCCTGTCTACCTCCTCTGGCTTCCAAGGTTTCTGATGGGGAATCTGCTGTCATTTCAATTGTTTTTCACCTATATGTAATGTGTTCTTTCTCTCCCTGCTGTTTAGAATCTTTCTTTGTCTGAAGTTTTCAGAAATTTTATTATCATATATGTTAGTGTGAATTTCTCTGGGTTTTCCTGTTGAATTCTATAGGTTTATATCTTTCACCAAACTTGGGATTTGACAGTCATTACTTTTTCAAATACTTTTTCAGTCTCAACTCTTTCTCGTTTCCTTCCAAGATGCCAGTTACATGAATGTTAAAACTTTTGTTATAATCCTGCAAGTACCTGAGGCTGTGTTCATTTTTTTTCAGTGTATTTGTTCTACATTGTTCAGATTGAATATTTTTTTTCCTTCAATTTTCAAATTCACTAATTCTTTACTCTGTTTGCTCCATTCTACTATTGAGCCCATCCACTGAGTTTTTTTTTTTTTAAATCTGTTACTGCACTTTTTCAGTTTAAAATGTTCATTTGATTCTTTTTTATATCTTCTATTTCTTTGCTGAGACTTTTGATTGTTTTTTTTCATTTATTTCAAGCATGTTTGTAATTGTTGATTCAAGCATCTTTATGATGGCTGCTTTAAAATCCTTGTCAGAAGGCAACAAAAATCTACATCGGGGAAAAGATTCCTCTTCAACAAGTGGTGCTGGGAAAACTGGATATCCACATGCAGAAGAATGAAACTAGATATGCATCTTTCACCATACACTAAAATCAACTCCAAATGGATTAAAGACCTAGGTATAAGACCTGAAACTGTAAAATTACTGAGGGAAAATATAGGTGAAACACTTCAGCAGTTATTTCAGGGCAGGGGCTTTATGAACATGAGCCCAAAAGCACAAGTAGCAAAAGAAAAAATTAACAAATGGGACTATATCAAACTAAAAAGTTTCTGCACAGAAAAAGAAACAATCAACAGAGTGAAATGACAACCTACAGAGTGGGAGAAAATTTTTGCCAA